TACAATTTAGGTTCTATAGAGGCCAGGCACTGATAACAAGAAGTCGTTCATCGCTAAATATCTGCTACGATTTAGGATGGTTTTGGGTGGGGTACTTAAGGGCTCACAATGATCAATGTCCCCGTAGCCTGGTCGATGGTCTGGCCAACCAGGGGCCAGATTCACGAAAGCACTTACGATCGTGTACATCTTTCCTCAATCTTTGACGGCTTTGGTTACATTTATTAAGCAGTTTACAAGCATGAAAACTTCCCATTCAACTGTTGTTATTGTTATAAACAGCCTGCTGGTGCTTCGGAGCTCATTAACTGTTTAATAATTGGAAACAAAGCCGCCAAAGATTGAGACAAGATGTACAGGTTCGTAAGTGTTTGCGTGAATCTGGCCCCAGGACGTTAGAAGCAGCTGCTTCTAACACTAACTCATTACTCGAACCCTTTGCAGGTGTTTATCAATCTTCTTGTTGTACACCTAAATAGGTGCCAGAAAAAACTAGTTTACTGTTAAAGTTATAATTATGTGGAATGGGTTAGACGATGGCAACTTTTAATGTAAATATAAGGAAAACGTGCATTAAACTAAGAATGTTCGAAGGGCAGGACTAGGAACTAATGCTCGACCCCGGAAGCATATCTAGGCAAGAACGCCTACAACATCCTAAAATAATTCATCACAACCAACCTCAAGCAGCAATACATTGTGCTCCATCACACTTACTCAACGAAACATCACAAGTATTCTCTATAATATGCAGCTTGCAGCATCCTGAACATCTTAATTCAACTCCCAATGAATTAAGCAATGAACGTTTGTAGCGAAAAATGTATATCCATATAAAGATTAATCTATAAATGATCATCTGGAAGCAATTCACGGGTTCAAGTTTTTTGGAAAAACTAAAATTAACGCTGGCAGGCATGGGAAGCAAACGTCGGTGGTGACTCGCACGCGTTGGCTCTCCTGCATTTCTGACCTTGAGAAAGGCGAAGGTTCACAGGTTTAAATGACTAGAATCCACTATCTCCCCACGCATAGCCCCTTGTCACTTTTTCTTTTCTAACTGGTATTTAAACTCTTAAACAGTCGAACAATGAAGTAGACAAACAATAGATACATAATAATTAACACGTAGAAAATAGTAGAGGGGCTGGTCCCAAACCTGCACACAGAAATAACATCACATGAGACCAGAAGGCATGGCAGGATGTGCAAAATACCCCCATTGAAAAGCATTGGTGCAATAGGTACCCAGAGATTAATTGATTGATGAAGATTAAGCCACCCAAAAGGTGGCACGGGTATGAATAGCCCATAAGTGGTGGCCCTTTGGAGCCATTACCAGTATCAATAGATGATACTGGAGATCTGTGGAGGTGCGACTGCACCCTGCGTGACGGAAGATGCCTCCCGTCGTACTCAGAGAGAACTCTATCAACATCAGAGGCCCGAAACTGTTCAACACACTTCCACTACACATAAGGGGCATAAATGGCCGACCCCTCACACAGTGTTCAAGAGCGTACTTGATAAGCACTTCCAAAAGATACCTGATCAACCAGGCTGTGAGTCATACGTCAAGCTGCGAGCAGCCGTGTCTAACAGCCTGGTTGACCAAACCAGCAACGAGGCCTGGTCGAGGACAGGGCCACGGGGACGCTAAGCCCCGAAATCATCTCAAGGTAACCTCAGGGAACGGTAGTCTATCTACAAGTAAGTTTCGCTTCATCTCTGAATACGAGTAAAAAAAACACACAGCACTGTAGTCGATTCTTCTTGTTATTGTAGACATATGAATAATAATATGCATGTGGCATAAACTCGACTCGTCTTCCAAAAATGATAGCACTGTACCTATTGCGATTGGACGAGATTTACAAAATATGGATTGTTGTATCCAAAAACGTTCGCGTTAAAGGATAATACAGTACAAAGAAAAAACACAGCAACCTAGTCTAACCTCTCTTACGACTCAATAAGCAATCGTATGCCTAATTTAGTACATACCTATGCAATACTAGGCCTAGGAAAGGCTATTTTTTATTGTCTACTTTCTCGGACTCCCTACAAAATAAAGTTTAATACTTGGGCTTATTTGCGGAGCAACATTTACCTTTCCGTTATTTTACGGTGGCTCCGCGGACCAACGTATCCGCGGCCCAGTCTCTGACAAAGCCTCCTGGTTGGTGGTCTGGTCAACCAGGCTGTAGACGCATCTCTTCGCAGCCTGACGTATAAATTACAGCCCTGTTGATCAGGAAACCTTTGGACGTGTTTAGCAAATTCTCTTTTGAACACTTTGAGAGGTCGGCTAGTTAATCTCCTTAAGTTTAGAGGGAGAGTACTGAAGTCATGGGCCATACGTGTTGAATGACTTAACCTATTGCACCTGTTTTACAAAGGGGCTATTTTGCATTTCCTGCCAAACCTATTGGTCTCGGGTGGAGTTATTTCAATGAACAGCTATGGAACCAGTTCCACTAATACCTTCCAAGTGTAAATTATTATATATTAGACGTTTTATTGAGTAGATTCTGGTAGTAAAAGAACTGCAAGTTCTCCAGGTCTACATCTCGTTTGAAAGTTTTTGTGTGCCAATCTGCCATTTTTCTTGCAGTTGTGACAGCTACTTTGTTGTATTCTGTAAAAGTAAGTTCCTTCGACATGATGACTCTCTTGTGAAATTTGTGTACAGTGTATTACATCAGCATTCTGCTCGTCTTTCACGGCATTTAAGGCCATGTCATAATGTTCTGCCAATTGTGAGGCAGGAGCGCCCTGTTCTGAACTCGTGGTGTCCAGGGTTATGTAGATGCTCCGATTCCATGTATTTTGTAATCCTACTTCTTTGCATTCTTTGAAATATTTTTATGATGCATGATGTTTATCTTTGCCTGTCCTTCATTACCTCCTTTGGCGAGTGGCGCTCCTTTAATGTCAGGGATAACACCAGTATCTAGGCGGTGTCCAAATAACATAAGGGTCCTTACCTTGAGATGCTTGAAAGTGTTTTTTTGCAATTCATGATTAACATAGAATTCCTGGAATCAGGGGCTAGTGAAGATTGCATGGACATACTGGCTATGGCTACTTCGAAATCCAAGGGTACTGTGACTATTTTCTCGAGGCACTGACTTAGGTTTGCATTTGCTAGCTGTTATCCTTCCTGTTTTTGTATACTATTAAAATTGAATTTGCCGAATTCCCTTCCTCTTGGACTTGAGACTGGCTGCGCAATTATGTTGCCCACACTCGGTCTGAACTTCAAATAGGTTGTGATCTGAGTAATGGGTATTTGTAATAATTATCTTCCTGACCAATTCCTCAGTGAAAATAAGGTTTAGGGTATTTTTTCCTACTTCAACTATTTGCTGGCTTAAAACAAATCTGTCACACATCAGTAAGAAGTCATTTGTGTAACTTCTTTTAGACTGCTTCCTGGGTTTCTCTCCGACAAACCTGTATTCACTATTTTAGATGCAGTCGGTTAAAAGTTCCCTAGGAAGATTATGTTAGGGGCTGGGTGTGTGAGGTTTTCTAAAAGGTATTCTATTTTCATTAATTTGTCTTTAAACTGCCAGGGATTTGCCTCCGGTGACTTATATTCAAGAGCAATAACCATATTTTGTATCTTCCACCCAGTCGCTTTAGGTACTATCACTTTTGGATATGTTGGTTTAATTACATTTTCACAATTTGGTTCACATGTACGAATGCAATCATTATTAGCGTGTTCCCAATTTTAGCAGGGGACAGACTAATAATCACCCCTTATTTTCATATAACAATGTGCACAATACTGCGACTTACGAGTTCTCAATAACAATTTACAAGCCAACCGTCCTCGTAAATAAAGGCTAAATGCTCGTTAATTCAGCCACCAAACCCTTGTTTATGAATGAAAAACACTTTACACACGACTTAATTGATGACGTATGTATTTTTCTCTGATGTCCTTTGCCCGAATTGCATCTCTATAAATGCTTCACCCACGTACCACAAACACTAATACTGGCCAACAGAACCTAACCACCTGATCCAAGTTAGGCCTAACTATTAGGCACATTATATCATGAAATAATAAATTACATGTATCTTATATATTTGAAAAAAATATAAATTTTGAATACGCAATACGCTAAAAGTCGACTTATACGTTATTGGGTTTGTCCGCCTCCTGGACGAGCCTAGCCTGAGAACAGTACTTACCAACGGCTCGTTAAATCTTGTTTAGTCCTCACTTGCTAATCATGTCTACCCAAAGGCAAACGCTACAATTTGATACAGAGTGGCCATCAATTTAATGTTAAACTGAGTTTTATTGCAGCTTTCCAGCAAGGAAATGACGTGCCAGCGATAAAATAACAATTTAAGTCTTAAAATTTCGAGTGAATACATATAAATTTATAAATTTTAAGTTTTTTAAATGTAGCGTAGAATACATAAACAATATTCTTACAGCTTTTTCTCATATATTATATATATATTCGTATATACGAAAATGTAATGAACTAAAATTACAATGAAATGTACACTATTTACAGGACTTGTATTATAATAATTGTCAGAGGATAAAACAAAGAATAAAATATTTTTTTAAAGGAAAAGGCATTTATAATAAAAATATTGTTCTAACGAAGTATTTAATATTGAAAGATCGCCAAAAACGATAAAACGTCGATAAATCTTCATAAACGTCTCCTTAAGCATACTTAACACATTAAACCTTTTTGTGTACTTGAACTTAATTGTTAAATGTCCTATCCGGACACTAATTTATTACAAATCGCAAATATTGGGTATAACTACATCACCCATGCAAGGGTACAGAAAGCGGGAAACCTACAAATATAATAAAGACAATAGACTTCTAATCTTTATATTTCTTAAATCACCAGTTTGGGCGATGGTGTACAATCAGAATCTTCAAACAATACCATAACCAGAAAATACCAAAACTAAACAGAGAATACCATAACCAAACAGACTAATATGGTACTTACACTGGTGCGTAGCTGGTGTGCGAGTCGTTGTATCCTTCAACCTCATCGCAGGATTCCCCACCCGAAGACGTCTCGGTTGCGTCGGAATCATGATGAGTATGGGCGTGGGCGGCGGCTTGCACCTCCGCCGCCACTGCAGCCACCTCAGCACGTGTGTGCTCGGGCAGGGTGGGTGCAGGAGTGGGCGGCAGGCTACGAGATGGGCGGTGCGAGACTGCAGCTAGTCTGGCAAGGCCCTGCGAGGCTTCCACACGCCGCACTAAGTTCACTAGTGCCGAGGTAGACATGGTGCGCATGGCGTCCGCTCGTAGTGACTCTACACCCACTTCTGGGGGAGTGGGTGGTGTGGGTCCTTCCTCGGCGAGCGTCGTCAGTTCCCGTTGTTGGGCTAGAGAAACGTGGGCGTGGGTCAGCAACTCTCTTAACTGACCCGACACCGAGGCGCCCAAACCACGGGCCGTCACTCGGCGAAGGCGTCGCTGTAGGCGTGCCTGACGCCTCTCTATCTGCCACTGACGACGACCAAGTTCCTCTACTAAGAGCCGCGCCCGCTCTTCCTTGGGTACATGATGCACTGGGGCCTCTCCTTCCAGCGACTGATGGGGGGCACGGTTGGCATCCCCTGGGAGGGTAAGGGCGGCGGTGTCTACTGCCGCCAACACCTCTGGGTTGTCTGCCAGGCGGGTCAGAGTATCAATGATCTCGTTCATGTTGGCAAAATCCCGGCCGATGAGGGCGAGGATATCACCATCCTGGGGTGGCGGTCTTGGCGATCTGTGGGGCACCGTATTATCATGAACATCGTGGGATGGGGCAGTGTCCTGACCCATGGTCGTAGCTTCACGCGAACATGGAGGGTTATCGTTGACTTCAGCAAGGGGCGGTAGGCCCTGCGGGGGGTCCATGGTAGTATGGGCGGCGTGGGGGCGCGGGGGAGGGTCACAACCCTCCCGCCCACACGCCAACCCACCCGCGCTTGTGGGTGAGGGCGGCAGGAGGCGGGGGGCGCGGCGTGGACCGTTTGCAAGGGCGGCGGCCAAATGGGCGTCGGTACAGGCGTGCGGCTCCTTCAGCCCACCATATTGCAGCGGGAGGTGGGCAGTGGGCGGAGAGCTGCTGCGGCCGGCCGGAGTTTCCCCGGGGCGCCCTGATGAATGGTGATGGTGAGCAGCAACGTGGAACGTCTGCGGGTCGGACGCTTCAGTAAGGGCGGGGGCCATTACGGCCGCCCACTCCCGCGACACACCCGCGCCGCGGTGCTACCTGCCGCCCATGGCACCGGTCGCGACACCTGCCACCCACCAGTCACGCCGCCCACCCCATCACTGACGCGGGTAAGGCGGAGAAGCACAACACACTGCACTGCACTACACACTGGGCCGTGCCTCTATTGCACTGCTCAGGTATCACCAGGGAGGGACAACACGCCCGCTCTCATAAACTCCTTACACACACTGAAAATCAGTAATAAAAAAGACATTAGCACCATGAATTCATATTATGCACGATCAACATGAGTCAACACAATTTTAACATTAAATACTCGCAAACCTTGCTCAGTTTATCAAACATCATAAAAGATGTCATTTTACAATAAATACACAACACACTATTACTGAATTCCTAAGATTTTCACTTACAAAAAACAAAGTATTATAGAATATATATATATGCATGCTTATATTTCATTACATATACTTACACATTGTAATGTGCAATTTATATGCAAAATAGTCATTAGGCTATTATTCCCCTCAAACTTTGCTTTAAACCAATCCTAAACTGTATTATGCAAATGTTAGAGCAAAGTTTGAGGGGTACATAATAGCCAGTTTCTTTACGTTAGAAGAATAAGCAATCAGAAAATAACACTAATTACTATTTCGCTTAAAATGGAAAAATGTGGGAATACCGTTGTAACACAATTTCCCAGGAAGCAGTCTAAATGAATAATCACAAACAAATGACCTCCTACGGATGATAAATTTGTTTAAACTAGAAAACGGTAAAACTAGAATACATTCTTAACATTTTTATAAGCAATGATTAGGAACATACGCATTACAAATACATTTTATTCAGACCACAACCTAATCAAAGTTCAAGCACGTATGGCCAATACAACTGCACAACCAATCAGAAATCCACGAGGAGATTTCTGCAACTTCAAATATAATAATAAACTGATTAACTAGAGCTAATAAGCCAAGACTTCACAGAAAGAAGCTGGAAAGAACTGCTAGACAACGCAGGCCTAAATCAGTGCCTCGAAAGAGTAGGTGCAGTAGCACTATGCATATGTTCAAATCACATACCCTCAAAGAAAAAAAAAGTAAATGCAAATTGGAACGAGAACGGCACTCTCTCTCTATAAGCGAAGAAAACAAACAATTACTCGGGCGTCCCCAACTCACCCAAGAACAACATCGAAAGCTGTGCAGCGAAATAGAAGCGATAAAACTAAGACGTATAAATCATATAAAACCCAGAAGAGACAGAGGGAGCCACATCAGTGAAATCGTGAGGGAACCCAAAATACTATGCAAAATCTGTAATAAAAGATACATCTAATACATGGTAAGAGAGAGAGAACTTTCACAGATAACAGCAAGAAATGTGTGGAATACTGAGGATGCAGTATCAATCTGTTTTCACTGAACCATATCCAGTGGGGGTGGGTTGAGTGACGGGTAGGGAGGAGGAGGTTGAGCGAGGGGTAGGGGGGAGGAGGTTGAGCGAGGGGTAGGGGGGAGGAGGTTGAGCGAGGGGTAGGGGGGAGGAGGTTGAGCGAGGGGTAGGGGGGAGGAGGTTGAGCGAGGGGTAGGGGGGAGGAGGTTGAGCGAGGGGTAGGGGGAGGAGGTTGAGCGAGGGGTAGGGGGGAGGAGGTTGAGCGAGGGGTAGGGGGGAGGAGGTTGAGCGAGGGGTAGGGGGAGGAGGTTGAGCGAGGGGTAGGGGGGAGGAGGTTGAGCGAGGGGTAGGGGGAGGAGGTTGAGCGAGGGGTAGGGGGGAGGAGGTTGAGCGAGGGGTAGGGGGGAGGAGGTTGAGCGAGGGGTAGGGGGGAGGAGGTTGAGCGAGGGGTAGGGGGGAGGAGGTTGAGCGAGGGGTAGGGGGGTTGAATGAGGGGTAGGGGGGTTGAATGAGGGGTAGGGGGGTTGAGTGAGGGGTAGGGGGGTTGAGTGAGGGGTAGGGGGGGTTGAATGAGGGGTAGGGGGGTTGAATGAGGGGTAGGGGGGTTGAATGAGGGGTAGGGGGGTTGATGAGGGGTAGGGGGGGGTTGAGTGAGGGGTAGAGGTGGTTTAAGTGAGGTGTAGGGGGTTGAGTGAGAGGGCCTGGTCCTTAATGCCTACTGATACTTCTATCAGCTTCAACCTTTATAACCTACTATACACAATGTAGAAAATATGTTGTACACAAAAACGTTAGTTTTGTACTATTAGATGTATAAAGGTTACAACCTATCCCGCGGATCATTGTTGCCCCTCAACCAACAACATAAAGGTTACTGTATAACCACAGATAAGTAATCCAAGGCCTAAAATACACAATCTTAAGCGTGATTTTGTACGGAAATGTTCTAAGCTGACCTAAGACGTAAGGATGTAAAGTTTGATTGTTGCCTTTTTTTCTGGTGCCCCCTTTTAAAATTTATTTCAAAACGAGAACTATTTTTATGCGCAGTATTTTGCACATTAATCTGCGTAGCTGTAGGTATTATCGTTTTTGAATGGCATGTTGGGTGGTTGCATATGGTGGATAGATAGTTTGCCTTAGGTAGTTTGTGGTTTGAGTGAGGTTGATGGCATACGTGTGATGAGTGTAATGTATAGACGGGAGGTGAGGTAGGCATGTTTCATGGTGGTGTAGTGATTACATGTGGTTCAGAGGCTTTTGCTTTATGGTTGGGTGTGGACTGGTTTCAGAACTGGTATGTAAGTAGCCCCCCACCCCTACCCGCTCTTTTTTAGGTACTCTGAGGATAGACCTTGTGAGTGGGGCCGTGAGGGTGATTGGCTAGGTCTGCGGGGCGAGTGTGGGAACAACAGCAGAGTAATGCGCATCAGAGTGCGTGGTTCCAGTGAATAGTTACAGTTGCACTAAACCTACTAAAGTCGCACACTATTTAGAAAGGAGAAAAAATGCAAATTGCAATGAGAAATGTGTTTTTATTGGCGAAAAATATGCAAATTGTAATGAGAAATGGGTTTTTATTGGCAAAAAATATGCAAATTGCAATGAGAAATGGGTTATTTTTATTGGCGGAGAAAAATCACAGTACAGTACTTCTCGAGCGCCCTTCTGAGAGCATTAAGGAAGGTTATATAGGTAAAAAAATGTATAGAGTTAAAACTGCGTAAATCTTAATTCGGGAGACAGCGAAAGGCTTCACTAGTTTTGTGAGCGCAATAAAGAATCTGTTCATTTTCCAGCTCTGTAATCTTACCTGCCTTGAAAGGAAAAGCGAGAACAAAACAACATTCAATAAGAGACAGCAATAGTGCTTTGACGAGAACCACCAATGGCGTGGCATCCCTTATTTTGAATGTTCTCATTATCCACCCTATAATTTTCCAGGCTGTTACTATGTTTGCTTTATTAGCTCTCTTAAACATTCCGTCTTTTGATCTTATTATTCCAAGTTTTTACTTGGTCGCTCCTTTCTGAGATCTGCCTCTTATCTTGTACTTCTGGTAAAAGTTTTCGTTTTAGTCCGTACTAAACTAAATGAATTTTATCACCGCTGAACGTCATTATTTTCCGTTACCCATTGAATGACCTTGTCAATGTCTTATTGTAATTTTTCTGTACCATCCACCGAGGCAATTTTCATGCTTGTTTTGGTGTCTGAAGACAGGAAACTGTGGCTTGTATTCCTATCTTATTAGATGGGCTTAGTTGACGTGTATTTATGTCGTGTTTGTGAATGCAAACTAGTTGTGGTTATATTAGTGGCTGTATCTGCATCAGTGATGGTTGGGATTTGTGGGGCAGTATGGAATGGAGAAGTTGGGATGGGAAGGACCAGATACTGTATATATATACAACCACTATTGGCGGGAGAAGATATGTGGGGTTGATTCCTTTTACTGGATTATACTTTTATTATCTATATGTAATAATAGTCTGAACAGAGGGGTGAAAATTTATATTTTGAACTACCTTCTCTACATGTACATAGCATTTAAGTAAAACCTACACAAAAAATTAAAGTATCCTGTAAAATGAACTCTGCAAAGGGAGAAGCATCTAACATCAAACTTTTTTCATTCGAATTATAAAGACATAATAGGAAATTACATCTTTTAAAACTACTAGGATTAGGCTTATGTTACACATTTATTTACAATGGGTAGACAATACGGTATGGTTCAAAGACGTACAATGAACGAATTTGAAATTAATACCTTTTAAAATTGTGAAAAATAAAAACTACATCTATTGCAAAACTTTCTACACAAATTATCCCTGACATCATGCCATATGGGCGCGGAAATGTTGGTACTGATACCCTGTTGGTTTTGTCGATATTGCTCAAGTCCCCCACCCCCTTTCTCCCTTCCGGACACTTTTTAAAAGTTTCTATAAGGTCAACCCTATAATAGATATTTAACTACAGTATATACAATGTCTAAAAACTTAGTGTGGTACACATTGGTGTAGAAGCCCATGCAGTTATTGGGATCAGATATCTTTACAGTAGCCTAGGCTATAACATAACTAGATCTAAAGCCTTAATTTTTATTATTATTATTATTATTGAAGTTCTTGATATCGTAACCCAAGAATATAAAACTAGCAGGCCTATTGACCCTGAGGCGGCCTGGTCGAAAACCGGACAGCGGGGCCCGTTGAGCCCCGAAATCATTGCAAGGTAACCCTTTATAATGTATGTCTTTTACACCAGCTGTCTCATAATCTGGTTTCTTTTCAAGTTATTAATGTTATCCAGATTATAATGTTTATTTTAATGCTGCAGGATACTGTACTTGGCAGATTGTTCCACCTATTCACAACAGTATTGCTAACGCAATTAATTAGCCTATTTGCATTTAGGCCTTAGCCTAGGCCGAGTTTGGCACTGGAATATAGGTTTAGCCTAGATATAAAACATATAAAGTAAACTTTTACTAATATTTTAATCTTTGTTATGAGCCATAATAATTTTTAATAACCATAATAATTAATAACCATAATTAATTAGCCATAATAGAGCCATAATAATAGTAATTAGCAACATTTTCAATATTCTATTTAGGCTATATCCGTTTCTTAATACAATTTTCGTGTTCGTATTTCGGTGACGAATAGGAGTTAATAGCAAATGCAAAACAAAGATGAGATCAGTTGTGAAAGGGAAAGTGGAGTGACAAGATGGTAACACTCAAGTCCGACTGTGAGCACCAGTGATTGTGAAAATCTTGTTTTAATTTAGGATGGGTTAAATGGTTTCCAACATCAGATGGAAACATATTTCAAAGGCTTTCACTAACAATGTATTCAAATTTTAGACTGACTCGAGAACTTCTTAGCAAAAACCTTCATACAGTACTGTTGCCTTTTAACGAGGAAAGTACCTGATAACCTCGACGAATGGTAGCCAGTGGTCTGGGGCCAGATTCACGAAGTAGTTACACAAGCACTTACAAACCTGTACATCTTTTCTCAATCTTTGGCGGCTTTGTTTATAATTATTAAACAGTTAATGAGCCCCGAAGCACCAGGATGCTATTTATAACAATAACAACAGTTTATTGGGAAGTTTTCATGCTTGTAAACTGTTTAATAAATGTAAACAAAGCCGTCAAAGATTGAGGAAAGATGTTCACGTTCGCAAGTACTTGCGTAACTGCTTCGTGAATCTTTCCCCTGAGCTTTTGTAGGCTATACTACGATACTGAGTACTATTTTACACATGCAAATATCAGCATGAAAATATATTACCAGCCGCCTTTGTCGACAAATTAAAAGAACGGGGAAAAAACGCTACTCGTAGAAGATATTTTCAGAGCCTGGCTGGCGACCTCAAACTTCGCCTGCATCAAGGTTGGGGCAATGCAATATACTGCCTGGGGCAAAAACTTGCCATCCAGATTATTTCTGTTGCCTAGCATGTGACAATAGAGAATTTTGTCTGCTTAATCTCAGAAAGGTACTATATGGAAATTGGCCACCCATAGCAGAAATACCAGCCAACCCATCCAGCACAAAAATTATAGCACCTATTGCTACTATGAATGCAGTATAAAAAATGAAGTTACACCAAACAAATATCCAGATTGAATTTTTGATATTCTTAAAGGCCTAAACAAACAATTAAATAGGTTAACCTGTTTTAAGTCTAAATAAGAAAGCTTAGGCTCATGTTAATACGTCTGCTATATTAAGCCTAAGAACATTTAATTTGGTGGTGGTGGTTGTTATCAAAATAATTGCTCATCCTTGGCCTACATAAAGGCTAGCCTTAGTAAATATGCGTAACATTGTTGTTTCTGATGGAATTTTTTTTAAAGACAAACGTTATCTAACAGGCAATTCAAGAGAAATTACGCAACCACATAGTAATTTGGAAAGGTAATAAAACAGGTGGAAGCACAAGAGTGACGAATCAAAGACTTAATACACACGAGGTCAGGAGAAGGGTGAAGCCATGGGGACAATTAGCCAAATAAGCTATGGTGACAACACCCTGCTTAAAAATACTACTGTATTGTACCATGGACAATGGATTGTTAAAAAAAATGCAATCTTTTATACGTAATATTACGCATTAAAAAGGTTACAAGCCATATATGAACATTAATTCAAATCTATACGAATCTGTAAGAATTAAAGGCTATAAGCTATTATCTCAGTCTAGCAAGCTACAGTGTATTGTACAGAAATGTACTAGGGACTAACATTGCTTTCCCTACCCAGTAGACCTTGTCCTTTAAGACTCCTAAAACTCGCTATAGGATACAGCCGAAGCCACAGCTTACATTTGCTGACATGTGCTGCTGTTTATGGTTCTGACTAAGCAATAATACCAATCAATTCAAGCAAAGTGGGTTGCATATACATGTAACCTCAAGGCTAGAAAATATTAAAACAGAAATAAAGAATAAAGGAAATAAATGAATACTGTGAAGAAGGAATAACGACCATTTGAAATATTTTACAGTATGAAAACGATACTATAGCAATACCATAATAAGAAAATTACTGATAAATGTGGTAACAGGAAAACGTCGGGAACTGGCAACACCATGCTAGCAGTGATCACGTGACATGACGCAACATTTCCCCCCCCCCAAACCTCTGACACAGCTTACACTAGTTTATAAACCCATGAAAACACTCTTGCTTTTTCTTTTGCTGTACATAAATGATGTAAACCCGCTCATTTCCACACCCTACCACAGACAAGCCTGCTCAACTGTACATGATATTCCATCTTATCAACTGAACCGAGTGAACGATGCATTGTGGAAATCTGAAAAGCTGAGAGCGCTCGATAGGGTGGAGGTTGCCGAGTCCACCCAGTAGACTGTGTTCAAGTTCGTACACGTATCGTCAAATTGAAAATGTGTATATATATATATATATATACTGTACCCTGTTGGGATAGGGAGCCCGTGGCATGTTCGGTTGAGTCACTCATTCAGATACTAGCTTTAACCATTACAAATATTAGTCTAAATAGAGTTACAACCAGAAGTTCTACTGCCCTAACTTGGACCCTGCAGCCTCTCAGAGTCCAAATCTCTTGGCCAAATACTATGTAGAAATTTCATGAAGCTAACTAGAAACTTTTGGTCACAAATATTATGATAATTATCTCCCCCATTACTGTAGGAAAACGAACAAACGTAAGCTTACTGGCCCATACGAATCAGAATATATTTATACACAATTTTCAATGACGCAACTTGGCAGATGTTCGCTATCCTAATCTCGACTGTTACTCGACACAACTCTTAATTGTTTAACAACGTGCAGTGTGAACTCTTATTTCAATCTATTCTCTTTATGCTTCTCATTATATACTTAACTGGGAATACATGTCACTGCACAAATAAAAGCAACATTATATCTATACCAAGAATGGCACCAAGCTATATTACCACCAAGACTTTCCCTGTTGGAGATTTAGACCATAAGCAGGGTCCATTCTTGTACAAGAATATAAGAACTCTTGTATAGAAAAAAAAAATACAAATATACCTAACCTTACCTAATAGATTTATGCCTAATTTCGTACAAATAGTAGGCTTAAGAAACAGTAGGCTTGCTTTGTTTCTTTCACGGGCATTTAGAAGTATAAAACTTACGGGCGCGCAAGTTCATAGTTTGGAATTCTATCCACATTCGAACAAATCCAAAAGGGCCGTGACGAGGATTCGAACCTACGTCCGAGAGCATCCCAGACGCTGTCTTACTCCACATTCACTTAATTTCTATCATTTCTGGACGACAGGTTGATTTTAGAAGCATATCAAGGCATCGGTACCAGTGGTATTGGCCTATTTTTGAAGTATTGGTCAAATACTTTGAGATTACAATAATTATTAGAGCAATTATCTTATAGTTTAAATACTAATATAGAAAATGTTCAAAATTTAGTTTTTTTATTAATCCATCTTCCAACACGAGTTAATATGATTTACACCATATTAGTCACTATAAATAAGGAGAGTTGTAGGGAGGAAGGGTGTGTGTGTAGATGTACCGTAGATGTACCTGCAGGGTCCAGCATCAACTCCCAGCCTACCCACTTGGTTGAATGCAATGGCTTGGTTGAAACTTTTTTCCTTTCGTTTAAAGCTAATATTTTGATACCTTCAATCACTTTCTCGCCTAACCCATTCCATTGTTTACAATACTCGAGTACTTATTAAGTAAATCATCAAAGTGAAAGATCATCTGACTAATGTGCATAGACTTGAATGGTGTCACTATTACATCATGCCTCGTGTTATGTATTGTTTTGACTTTTCAAATGTCACTAATTCATTATGAGTAACCAACAGTCGTCTACATATAGTCATAGCGAGGTCACCTTCTCCAGATATCTTTATATACTGTACTTTATACATATCTACGTCATATTTCATGAAGGCATTTCGTTCTCAGTAGCTAAATCTGAAACAACAATCATGAAGGCGCATAAGACGTTGTCTCTAGTTTTTGCATTTGTATATTATGTGTGATTTTTAGCACCAATATATACCCTGTGTCTACTTTATAATATATAATGAATGCGTGGTTTAACTGTGAATGTCTTGGTTCACATTAATAATTTTAAAATGCCCCACTAACAAATCTATCATGGTAAAACTAAGCTTCTCTCGTGGATATTTCCTATATTACGATGCGTTTCAAACCAATACAGCTAAAATAAGATATCTGAACGTTGCTTACTAATTTAGGGCAAGGAAAAGCCTATATACGTGTGGTTGAGAGCCTTAAACCCACCTTTAAATGCCACTGCCGCCCACCACACCCAACTACTATACAATTATAATTAACACCTTATTCACAGTTATATATTCAGTTTTATCACCTTTCTACCATACATCTCATTAACTTGGGGGTGTTGTGAGGGTAAATTAATACATTCATTCAGCAATGCGAGGGTTTGAGAGGGCGCACAGTGTACCATTCATGAGGGCGTCCTGGGCCACACTGACGGGCGGGCCAGGCCAGGCCGGCCCGGTCCACCACGTGACACAGCCGCCATGGCCCGCCAACCACCCCCAGGCTACACCGACCCACCTCCTCTCTTCTTATTACACTCACTACACACGCTACGCCGCCCTCCGCTCCCTCTTACCGCCATATATCAAAACTACCCGGTGTTACAAACCTTCAAACACGTGGAGGATCAGGCTGCTAATCCAAAATGCACCGAAATTAAGTATATTTCACTGAAAATTCCTGCAGTGTACTTCCTCACACAACCTCTCAATACACACCAGAGGAGTTACTGAATCTTCTCTAGCACAGGCTTTTTTATAGTGTCTTAACTGACATTGTCACGCACACGTGCCTCTTCTTATCACTTTGTAATATCAAAACAATATAATTCGTAACACATTCCCATTTTTATCAACTGCCGAAGTAAAATTTATACCGAAAGCAGAAATGGGTGACACGATAGACTCTCAACTGAGTGTGATGCGCGAGAAGTGACGTCATTGCGCAGACCCTGCTGGCCCGCATTGTGTGATTGGGCGGGATGGCTGTTCCTCCCGCCGCACCCCGCCTCACTCACCTTCAAACACAATTCTTACGCTTACCTCTACACTTATAACGGGAAAAAACAACGCGTTTGTTAGAAATATTTTAGATAAACATAATTATATAGCTTAGCAACACTATTTAAGAGGTATAGCAAAAGTAATGGGTATTTCATCTATCGTGGGAATAGAATGTAAAGCCAGTAGAATAGCTATGAGTTGGCTGAGCTATACAAAATTTGGCGCGTTTCGAATAAACTATATATCCACTACAGTAAAATAATCCTGAATCCCGTAAGGAAATTTATGGTATAAATATTATTCTATCTCTGATGCTACGCGTGAATAAAGATAAAAAATGGAAGGGAAGAGCTAGGCCGAGACTCGCCCCTGGTCCAATATCCAGCTAGGCCGCCATTTGTTCATGCGAGGTACGATGCTTCCACCATCACAGGTCTACCAATGGAGCTAAAAACATACCCACATTTAATTCCTCATTACAGTACCTAAATCATGCATTATAAATAATATATGCCAATAGAAAATTATAAACTTGGCGAAAGTATGTGAATAAGGGAGAGCTTAAAGTAAAAAAAAATGTGTGCATATATTATATTGATATTTAAAGTTCTGCGCCATAATATGTATAGCACTGTTTTTTGTGTCTAAAATATTAGTAAATTACGTATTTATAACCATTTAATAAGTTGTTTATGTAGTGTAATGTTCTATACTAGCGTCAAGCTGTGAATTTCTGCACTGCGGCAGTTTCGGAAATGTTTGTATCCCTGACGTATCACGTGAGGATCAAGCCGATTTGGTCATTCTTTTTAAATAATGAACATTGTACTCCATGTATGACTTGAATCATGAGATTGGGGACATTTTCTTATGGTTAATACTTCTCATACACACGAAATTAACTTGATATAGTACACCGGAAGTCTGTAGACCATGTGCGGTGGTCTTGTATTCTAAAAGGGCACAATACAAACGTAATTACATATAGAGAATATCCTATTTGAGTCTTATCGTTAATGTGACGTAACGATGAAATGTCTGTTAGAAATTCGTTTCACATTACAAATTTTCCTAAATAACAAACTTAACATTTATTGATGCTATATATTATCTCCGCATATAACTGCGACATTTAATTGTGGACAAAGAAGAGAGCGCTGAAAACAGAACCCGCCTAAGATAATGTAATTATTGCATAATGGGCTCGATACCCAAGATTCAATAACCTCTCCCGGCTAACATATAGGATGTGCGCGCTCCATATACACCAATTAAACTAAGGTTTTATTAGTAATATTATAGAGGAGCAATACTGGATGAAATTCAGTTTGTGCGCATATATAAAATCTGAAATTCTGGAAGTTTAATATATGAAAGACAAGAAAACTAGTTTAGTTTAGTTTAGTTCATTTAATATTATTCACGTACCCATCTCATGAGCGGTAATGGAAATGGTTATTTTAATGGGCTCGGGAATCTAGCCTCAAAACTCGTTTAGCTAACTTCCAGACAATACTGATGAGCCATATAGTTATATAATTTGTTAACATATAACTATATCAACAGTATCTTCACAGTTTATCAAACTAACATACCAGTTAATTTGCCTATCATGTTGCACCCAACCAGAGGAAGGAGGTGTGGAGGGTAGAGTTACCTCCATATGTACTTCCTACAGTTAAACTGGGGGATAATTGGTTAATTTTGTTGACCAGACCACACACTAGAAGTTGAAGGGACGACGACGTTTCGGTCCGTCCTGGACCATTCTCAATTGGTTAATATTTCCTGCAGAAGATCACTTTTCAATTCAATATTTACACATTTCGAATTTGGATGTATTTTATTTTCCTTCGTGGTTATACGTAATCATGTTATTCATCTCGTTATTTTCTTACTGTTTTACAAGACAATATCTGCAATTTCTTGCCCGAAACTCTATTCCTATTAGTGGCTTTAGGTATTGTATGTACTAGCTCTGTCTATAAATCCAACATTATGTTTGTCTATCATCAAAAATCCATCATCTATGTATGTACTTTTACCTGAATAAAATTTGAATTTGAATTTAAATTTGAATAATATCGGTTGCGTTAGGTACCGACACCAAAAGGTTGCACCATTAAAGTGTAGAGCTTCCAGAGATGTAACTCTCCCAGCAGAAAATGAGTTTTGCATGTTAATATCTTTATTAACATGCAAAACGCATGTTCTATTAAAACAACCTGTTTTAGCCCTAAATATGCAATCATAATTTAGTACTGTACATATATTACTGTAATAGGCCTAGGAAAAATTAAGCTTGTTTGTTGCCAAATATTATTTCATTAACGTCAGCGATAGTCAGTTTATATACTTTAGGTAGAGGATGGGTTGCCACTGACAAGAATTAGGTTCTTTTGCGCTAAAACTTACAACTGAAAAATGTCTAGTTTTCCCCCTAAGCATGAATTTATATTTTAATGAACGCTCTGGGCCATCAAATTTTATTCCTTCTATGATTTGAGTCCTTTATTTTATTGTATATTTGTACCGTCAGCACTTATGAGGGATTCAGTCTCTGATGATGTAGTTTGAATTATTCCCTAACACCTGTATATATGTTTTTACTGTAGTATTCCTAGTTTTCTTATTTTATTAACTCATGTCCGTGTTTATCACGTGTGTGTGTGTTTATTATTTGTGTATTTACTATTTAAGCATGCAGAATCAAACTATTAGCTCTTGGACCCCGCCTTTTCAATCAATCTATTTGTTCCTCTATCATATCTACTACATACTTATTTCTCTCTAACACGCACACACCCGTAGCAGCTGTCTAGCTCTTGGGTACCTATTTACTAGGAGTATCAGGTGAAAGAAACTGCCCATTTGAATCCGTCTCGACCGGGAATCGAACCGGGGGCCCTTAGGACTACGGCCCCCGAGTGCTGTCCACTCAGCCGCGAGGCTCTGTACAGCCGTACAATGTTCGTGTGTACTCACCTAATTGTGCTTGCGGGAGGGTTGAGCTTCGGCTCTTTGGTCCCGCCTCTCTCAGCCTCAGTGTGTTGAAGGGTGGTGCAGCCGGCACCAGACTCCATCTGGCCGCCGCCGGGTGAGTGCGCACGAGCCGGCAGGACTCGTTGACCCTACTATAGTATCGACGTGGTCTCTACTTCCCGTCCACCTCACATCTGCCGAGGGCACCTCCTCCTCCTCTCCTCTTGCGGCGCAACCAATGTCCTTAAGCTATGGTCATCTATGCTATTTTGTCAGAAAAAAATAATAGTCGGCAAATGTACGTGTTCGTACTCAAGCTGAACGTTCAAAATCTCAATAGTGAACGTTCAATAGTCCAAAAAGTGAATGTTCAGAAGTTTTGAGTATTGTAACATCAAAAAAGTGTCAAAACGTGCCCTCGATATAAGCCTAACGTGTATGAATACACTCTGGCTTCCTGTCCTCCGACACAATGAATTATAATTATACGAGACGTGTTTAAAATTAGTTGTCTTTACATTTGAAGACGCATGCTCAATCCCTGCGAGGCGGGAAGGATTAGTGCTGTATTGCCATACTGAGTATGCATAGCGAAGTAATTAAGCCTAAACAAGAGGAAACTAATTTTCAGCGAGACTGGGAAAAGCTAACATCACTAGGACTCAAAGTAGCATGAAATCCTGTAGGTGAGAAACCTATAGGTACCTGCAAGACCTCCCCAGAACGCACTGAAGAAAATGCTGTGTGCATTATATATAGTGGCTTTATCAAATAAACAATTACTCTACCTGCTAAATATATCTATTTGATTTTGTGTATATTTTATAAATAACATTATTATTAAGAGACCCGTTACATTATTCACCTCTAGTGCCTTAACGCTAATCACAGACGAGAAAAGGTAAAGACATGTCCATGACTGAAATTAAACAATAAATAAATCACAGAACAACGAGACCCCTAAAAAACGAATCAGTGCACTCACACATGCACTGGTGTACAATATGGCGACGGAACGTACCCAAGTGAACGTGCTTAACACTAACCTCTCAGGCTTGGAGCAGGACGCAAGGAACTACTGGAGCCTAAGTGTCAACTCGTGAGGCGTCAGAGTGAGTGAGGTGGCAGTTCGCAGCTACTCTATTCACAGAGTGGGTGCTGACATCTGGTGGTGGTCAGGGATTGTGAAGGGTCAGCCAACTAGCAGTACCATAGATACTTGGGTGCAAATCTATTTAAGGCCGAGTATCGCATGGAGGAGACTTTTGAGTGTAGATGAATGAACTTTCTGGGTAAGTACTGTATCACAAGAATAATATACTGCATAGCACTCTTCCATTAGAGTCAGAGTTTCTAGACATTACTTAGAATGTTGTTCTGTCGAAGTGAGATTCGCCAATAATCCTCAGGGCATGGTTTTGATCTAGGTGTTGTACCGGTTTCTTCGGTTTTGTCCATTTCGTCCTCACCAGACCACATGGGCCCTTCGACCGTTCCCGATTTTCCAGTTTCCTCTTCGGGATTTTTAGGTTCTGTCCCATGGTGCTTCCCATTCCCTGCGCTCGACTTTTTCAAGGATGCCTCGGCTTTGGGTTGTAGAGTTTGTTACCAATACTCACCTGATTCCGCAGGGTCGTTGGGGGGTCCTCTGAATCAGCGCACATCACGGAGTACGAAATCACAGCAGTCTGGCATGCACTGCGGATACTTTATCTCCCAGCAGGCTCCACTTCATGCAGTTCACATTCAGGGCATGTCCTATATTCTGGAGGATGGTCTCTCATTTTCGATATGGCCTGCATCTCCTAACAATGGCTTCGCAAAATGTTCGGCCACCCTAAGATGGACCTCTTCGCATCGGTTTCTGGGCTGTGGTCCCATTCCTTGATCGCGAGACTTTAGTTGTGGATGCTTTTCAGTTGGACTGGAGTCAGTGGGGGATTTCCTTATCTATTCCCTTCGGTTCTGCTCCTGCTCCAGGTTCTTTTGGCTGCCTTTTGACTGGGCTAGCCATGATTTCCGGATCTTATAACCAATTATCCTAACTAGTGTTTTATGCGGCTTCGCCTCTTTCAGCAAATCGACCCGTAGAAGAGGTTTCCAGACAGTTCGAGGCACTCTGCTGATCTATACTTTTGGCTCTCGGTATGGTCTGCAGGTGGTCGATTTTGTTGCAGCAACATTACTGGGTTTCTTGGCGCTCCTTCCACCTTTTTCTGTTGCTGCCTTTCCTGTTTCTGTATGCAGCCCTTTAATTTATTTTTCTCTTGGTTGTTTACGAATAGGCTTTTCATGCCGAATGCATTCAAATGCATCTTGATCTGCTCTGGGCTTGTGTGGCTTTGAGGCAGTTCACTCTTCCCTACCATCACATTTCCTTAGGGTTTTCTTTCAGCTGTCCCCTACTTTTCGTGAGCACCCTTTTTGTTTTTCTAGGTGGTGAAATATCACCAAGGAGCCCTCCCAGACAATCAGTGAATGCATTGAAAGGCCTTCCTCCGATTGGTCCTTGGAACCCTTTCCTCCGATTGGTCCCTTTCACATTCAGAGGATTTGGTTTTCAGAATTCGTAGCTGAATGACTGATTATATCACCTCTGTCAATTTATATTGTAGTTATATGTTTTTGCTACAATATACCTATGTATATATGCTAAATAATAATAATATATGCTAAATTTTGCTACAATATACCTTTTCATCTTACCTGGTATGTTAGATTAAGGACCTGTCCAAAATGCTAGTGGCTTTGCAAGAATGTAAAAATACCACTCTTAGGTAATTTCACATATGCATTGTACATTCTCTCAAATACAATTATTATTATTTTGGGTTGACCACCATTCTAGTAGGTTAGGGGTAACATACTATTTCCTGCATCTCTTTTTTAGAGGAAGCCAGGTCTTGGTAATCAGTAGAAATATGATTTGGGGCCTGGTGTGGATTGAATTGGTTAGAGCTTGCCAGGTAGCAAGCACCAAGGAACCAGTAGAAAGGGGAATTTAATTACATTCAACACTGGTTTTTTATCCTTATATCTCCCATCAAATAAGTGTGTTGCCCTTATGGGGCCTCTACTACCAGACAAGAAATGTGGCATGCTCTGCATTGCAAACAAGTGGCAGAAATCCACTTGAAATTGGTCTCATCTACAAGTAAGTAATTATCAAAAGAAGGCACCAAACCGGGAAGGCTATGTAGCACCATCAAATGTGCAGAATAATCAGAGGATGCTAAATATCACCAAGGGGTCTCATCTACAAGCCACTCTAAACTCTGCCTTAGTATTAAAGCACTCGAGATCCCTACCCCCATTCTCCACATCAATGCATAGTCAATGAGAGGATCCTATCCCTCTCAAAATTAAAAAGGTACATATACAACCCCCTTTAGTAATAACCTAGTAATAAATAGGGGTAATTTACAACAAACAAATGTGCCTATTGCTATTTATTTCAAAATCACACAAAATGATTAAATGAACAGAATTGAACTAGTTATAAATTTGCGATCCTTACAATAATGCATTGTTGGTATGTCATTCAAATCTTCTTATGTAGAGGTACAATACAGTACTTGAAATTATACACACGTCTTTAAGAAGTATTTTACACACACATCTTTCACACGTACTAGTAATTATGGCTGCAATAAATATGGTAAAAATGATATTAGAACATATTGCAATTTATTGAACCCGAATTGCAACACATTAAATATTCTAGAAAATAAATCCCGATTGTTTCTTCTTGCACAAGTCGAGACAATTTAATGTCTTTAATTTATACATGTTATTTATAATGTATAAATAACAATTAAATAATGTAGTTAACTAAAAATGATAAAATCAAATTATCAAGTAAGCACAAATATGGGATTACTGTATTACAAATTAAAAAAAAAAAAAATTAAATATAAAGCACTTGAATATTACCCTAAATAAAATTATGCACTTCAAATATATAAAAGCATCAGGAGTATCAAAAATAGATTCAAATTAGTTCAATATAACAAACTTCGTTACATTTCATATTTAATGTTGCTCCTTCATAGCCGAGGTAAAGGACAAGTGTTGTAGCCGAGACCATTTATCTCGGCCTCCTCCTAGAACACTGCCTTGATGCCATAGTTTGTAGTTCAGTAATATTTCACTGAAATACACGTTAAACAATATATGCTTTATGTATCTTGCATGCAACTTCCAGTGCTTCAGTCATAGGTATTTAAACAATTTGAAAATTCTATTTACATCATAAAAATATACTGTATAAAAAAAAATCAAATAGGCCTACTGAACACGTGCAGCATTGTATTCTCAATAGCAGCAGATGTACATTTCCCTAAGAAGTTTATAAGCAATCTTAACACAAGAGGGCAATGATTGCAGCACACAAGGGGAGTTTTTAACATATACATTTGCCTGTGTCTATATATATTTAACATATCAAGACAAAGTGTCTACTCTCCAAGTTAAAATGGTTACGACTAGGATAAATAAGATTACATTAAATATAGGCACTGAATGGTTTAAATATTTGTACCATACTGCATTTAAATATTTACCTCCAATTTAATTTATACTTTCATAAACATAGTACCAATTTTCAAATATGTAAAAAGAAAAATGCATATATTTGAAAACTATAAAATATATTTTAGCTTTTATGTAAATTTTAATAATCATGTACTACTTAACATGTGAATGAAATCAGTGCTTTTAAATGACCAATTAATAGTTTTTTTATTCAAGAATTGCCAATCAGGAACCAATACTATTACTCCCTGAATATTTACTTCACGTAAAAAAAATATTTAGTATACCATCACCGATCATTAATAATGTTTCTGGAAGTAAACGTATTCCATTACACAATTTAGCAACAAAATACTATAACTTACATAAAAGGTAAGTAATTATCAAAAGAAGGCACTTACATAAAAAAGGTAAAGAAAAATTACAGATACTGTACTCGAGGTCAAACCACCTGCATTAACACCAATCTTCAAGTTAAATGATAATAAATGAATAGTTGCAAGCCATATTTGTATAGTATTTCTACAAATCCATTATCTGAATACTGACGTGTATGCTTCCATTTACAAGTAACCAGTATGAGGAAGGAAACGTGTTTTATAAAAACTAATTGCATTGTTAATTTATCACTATTTACTATAAGTCTACAATGACACATCCAACATCGGACATGCAATTTAAATTAGATCCTTGTATGAGGCAGCATGATATAGTTAGAACAAACGAAACCGAATGTCACTCACGAGAACGCAAAGAAGAATGGTTAGAAAGTTGTTCTATTTAAATGTCCAAACCGATATTCATCAAGATTTTTTTTAAAGAGAGAACTGCTTAAATCACACGGTATGTACAGTGACAAGCATGACAGCTATATTTTTGGTTAAGTTGCAAAGTGAATGATTACCTTACAAAAAATATATTACACATGGTAACTGCTTTGCATGGCTATCAAAAGTGTGGTGTGTAAAATCTTTAAATGTTAGGTAATGGAAGGAAAGCGGGGCAGATGAGAGTGAGGACATCACATTTTTTAGACACTGCAACACAAATGCAAAATTAAATGCACAGAACTTCTACAATATATTATGGACCATAATCCTGAAAACCACATGGATGTTTAAGATCTTAGTTATTTTAGAGAAATTGAGGCAATTCTTGGCTCGGTTTTCATTTCAGTACAACTTAACCGTCTCCCATCATGTTGAATCTAAGAAAAATATATTTAACCCATTAGAGATGAAATTGTTTTTATAAAAATGAACATTTTGCTACATTAACTCCCAGGATTAGGTATAACCTTGATTAAGGCGAAGACACAAACTTTTATGCCATTCGTTTTAATTCAAAATACCCTGTCAAATTTTGTACGACCCAGATAAACTGCTGATGTCATTGCATAGATGGATGTATCACTATTCCCCTGTGACAACTCAAAGCCTTTTGTCACCAACAATCTGACGGGCAATAAGTTCCTTCATTATCTCATTGGAACCGCCATAGATGGTCTGGACTCTTGCATCAACATAGGCCTTGCAGATTGGATATTCCCACATGTATCCCCAGCCACCATGGAGCTGCACACACTCATAGGACACACGGTTCTGCATGTCAGACATCCTGTAATGAACAAGACGATAGTAACCATACAGTACTCGTAGGGAGTTGTTCCACTAAAGTACACTACAGAATAATAATTAAGTTATTAAAACCTTCCGTGTACTGTACAACAAAGCTATGCAACATATAATAATCATTATTTACCATATTGAACAAAGATTACAAAACAAAATATCTATTATCTTTGATACATTGTTCTATCGCTCATCAAGATTGCCTTATATTGAGCCACTGCCTGAACATTTCAATCCTTATTATATAAAGACTTTTTAATTTAAGAAATGCACGAATCATCTACTGTACTTAGAAACCCACACACATTAACCCTCGCACTACTCCAAAAATCATGGACTGATTGGGTAAAATAGCCAGGAGATATTCACAGAGCCTGAATTAGCTACTCAAGTCATTGGTGAGAACTTGGTTGTGTGTTAGATTCCTTGATGGCTCTGGAAATCATCTGCCATATTGGAAAAAAAAATACAGTGCTCTAGTTTTCTTTTTGTATATATTGGTAAACAGATGTACACCATGTCTAGTACATCACCTTCCAGCCATGACTATGCTAGGAACATCTGATGCCATGCAAAATTGTGCAAGACATATCAGGAGCTGAAAGTTCTAGACAATAAAAGAATATATTGCAAGTAGTAAATTTAAATACTATTGTGTTACCCACTGGACCAGTCAAGGAGCCCTTAAAAAGGGGAATTAGCAGCATCCTTCTGGTCCTGATGCCAAGACTTCACAAGCAGGCTACTAAGACTGGTGCTTGAACCAAGTTGCAGTCCATGCCTGGCACACACTATATACCCATTGGTTGAAGATACCCAACAGCAGGAATGCCGAAGGCAGAGGGGATGATCATCGAGCTAAAGGATAAATAGGAAAAGGCAGCCCAAGAAGAAGCAGTAGCAGCAGAGAAATAAACATGACCCAGAATTATTCACACCACACAACTTTGACATAATGATTATCTGTCCTTTATTATAATTATGCATGCATAGCAGAAATGCTTACATTAAAGGGGCAAGGTTCCAAGGAGTTGCGTAGGTAGTGGAAAATTTGAGAAACAATATCTAGTGTCAAGGAACTTAGCAAACTCATCGAGGGAAATGTAAGGTGGGAAGTAAATAATTATCAAAAGAAGGCACCATATGTAGCAATGGTGGGGAGACTATGTAGCAATGTAAGGTGGGAAGAGTTAGGGAACCAAGTTATCATGCAGGTCCTGCCAGCTGGTGGCAGTCAGAGGCATCAGCGGGGGTACACTAACTAATGATCAGCGAGAGAACTCTGACAGATCCTTCCATGCACATAGCACTTTGAAGGTTTTCAACCATAGTTGAACAAGCATTCAAGATCAATCCAAGCTAGATTGAATAAGGAGTGTGTTCTCCAGTGTCTTCTTTGCACCAATATGACCCCACCAGGGATGTTTGAAAGAAGTCACATTGTGCTGGTGTGGCATATCAAACTGCTGTGACTGTGCATGGCTCCTGGTTCAATTCTGCTGGACCTCCATTGGTCCAGCAGGACCTTGCATAATGGAGCAACCGAGTGCTTCAGCTCAAAAAGACACCATAACCCCTAACACTGCACTGATAAATATACTGTACTATAGATGTAAGTTGATTAAGAGAGCAAAGAACTGTAACAATGTAATGAAGCATTAAATAGAGAACAGAATTTGTTGAAAGTTACATTTTGTCAGATACAAGTCCTTATAGGTGAAATGTCCAATAAAGTTAACCCTCAAATCTAAACAAGAATTTTATGATAACTATTCCAATCTAACTCATTACTTACACTTCTTTAATGACAACAAATACAGTATTCAGAATGTGCTACTGTATTCAGTACTTACCAATATTTACACATGGAAGCCATGCTACCATCCAGCTTGCCAACATTATGCAAGTCAATACACTGGTCTGTGAAGGCACGTGCAACACATATTTCCGTCTTCATTTCTGCCAGTTTATGCTGAATTGTCTGAAAAGAATTGTAAATTTTTATTATAATATTATATATATATTTATATATATAAATGAATAAATTGAACACAGTTGTGCAGTCTTCCTCTGAGCGCATCTTCTAAGTTTTGTGTATCAGTAAACATTGACAGAAAGGAGTATACCCTCAAAAATTACTTCACATTAATCAGGAATAAGAATGAACTAATACTGGACTAATAGACTAATATATTTATATATACAGTATATGAGAGTGTCAGACCACCACATAGGAAGGATGGAAACGGGAATTTCTGAAGACGTATTATTAAATATGAAAGTACTTAAGGAAATTCCTGCTTCACTCCTTCCTTTGTGGTCTGATACTGTCACATTTTTCATCACGTATTAATTTTCCCGATTTACACACACACACATTGTGTAGGGAGGAGGGAGGGGGGGAAAGGGAGGGGGGACAGACAAAAGCTTTTGTCCACATGTACACGCTACTACTCTTTATGCCTTTCTTTACAATACAAAACTGATAAAACTCCAATGGAGAAGAAATGTTATAAATCTCACTGCTCTAATTGCAAAGTGTTTTCATCATTGTACACTATCACTCCAGCCACAATGCTACAACTCTAATAATTGTACAGTATATAAATCACTTGTGAATATAGCTTCTAAATCTAAAATACTCCCATCTCTACCCATACTCCTCAGCCTCAACTCAACTGTCTCTTAACATGTACAGATACACCCCCCTCCCCCACCCCACTAGCCAACATGTACAAGCAACCCACCAGCTACTACTACTTCAGCTCTCACCTTCCACCACCTGAGTGAATCTCTACCACAAACCTCACCCACCATTCCTTTTATCTCCTACAAATATCACAAATCTACTCCTACCCATCCCAAATAATGGGTAGTTCTTTTTCTACTCTCATAGGTAGCTTCTTTCTTATTGGTAATCTCTCTTAGCCATATGATCTGAGCCCAGGATAATCATCTCTCTCCATTTTCCAACAATTTTAATTTTCTTCCTCCCACTCATATCCATCACACTACACTTAATAGACAGCCGGTGTAGACCTTCGAAATGACTCAAATTTAATTTAGACAAAACCCTATTTGATTTTTTTTTTTACTTGAACATTAAACCAGTACCCACCTTGAGATTTGACAATGTCTTGCCAAATGCCTTCCTAGTCATTAGATATGCTCGAGTCTCTTCCAACTGCCACTCACAACTGGCACACGACATAATGCCAATTAGGAGGCGTTCCTGAAAATGTTGAATATATGATATATATTGAAATAGGATATGTTGAAATCGTCTAGTCAACATGAGAGAGATTGCTGTATGCAGACCTATCAACCTAAGGTTTTAGTAATATTTTACAATAATGCAAATGCTGAAGGTATGAAGAAAAGCTCATTGTATGCAAATCTATTAATAGAGAAATAGTGCAGCCAATACTGTAATTAGTAGCTGTCAGTTTGTCACTTTTCCTGCCACTCCCACAATTGCACACTCACATATTCTTATACATAAATAATGACACTTTCACACATTCACAAACAGCTTTTATTATTAACATATTATTTTAAAGTGTTTGCATACTGTGTAATGTAAAGCATCTGTAATTTTTGTGTATCAATTAGTGAGCTTCGTAATCCAAATTCCATCCCTACAAAATGACAGTTAAATACGGCTTCAATTTTGGTCGAGTTACTAATAGACTCAAGTTAACTAAGGCTGAATTACTGAGTGGTCAGTGTATATATTGGTACAGGTAATGACATTTGTGATATTCAAGGTTGTATGACGGTTACATAATGCCCAGTCTAATGATAAATTAATCAAAGGAATATAATACATCTTGGCTTGACCATTCTATCTAAACTTGTAAGTGGGATTTTGTGTTGTGTACATATTTGATTAGTATTCAGTTTCAGTAAAAAGCAGTGTCATTTTATAACCCAATTGAGAATAGCTGATACTGACACATTAACTTATAAATATGAATAAAAGGTTGTGGAGATTAAATGTTACTATGAGGTAAGCACTCCTATCAGTGCAATGCAATGCTTCTGTGACAGCTGTGTGACCATTAACAGGGTTCAATTTTGTAAATAATGAATAGTTGACCCTGGGTACTGGCTCTTCACAAACCTGCCAAGAAGTGAAAACAGATCTGCCACAATAGACAGCGATATGTGACTCGGCAACTAAAATACAGATAAGCTAATGTGCAGATACTATACTTTTATGTAGTTCTACTTAAAAGAGCCAAGAATTTTAATTCTTTACAGGATAACATTTTAAGATTATCTGCAAGATGAGGTACTTGTAGTTATCAAAATTAATGAGTACCAGGATGCTAAGCTTTCCTTTTCTTCTTTGAACAGTTAACACCAAAATTCAGTAAACACGAGCACTGGGATCAAGAAACCGAAACTTGGCAGGGGCTTTTTTTTTTTTTACACCTTGGATTTTATTCTCATATCACAACATCTTTAAACATTCAAGGCCTGCTGTACCCAAAGGTACCCCCCCCCCCATGAAGAAACAATGATAACTCTCATCCATATCACTGAGGAGTGTACAAATCCTCTCCGAACAGTGTAGTGTATTTGTTACTGGAAAGTTGCAGCAGTACTTTTTATTAATGTTTAAATAGGCATTTTATGAAGTTGGATAATGGACAAAGCATATCCACATTAAATAATGAATATCTCACCTGTGGCAACTCATTCATAAGGTAATAAAATCCATTATTTTCTTTCCCTAACAAGGCAGAGGCCGGTAAGCGGACATCCTCGAAAAACAGCTCGGCAGTGTCCTGAAAGGGCATTTGTATTGTTATTCTGGAATTTATTGACAGCATATATTGGAGAAAAGATATTCAGATATTGGAGAAAAAATAATTAATTTAACTGTAATTTACAACTCATGACAGACTAAAGTGTGCATATTGAAACCCGTGTATGAAGTTTGTTAGGCCTGACTTTTCTCCTCTAAATCCATGTTGCCCTTCTGTTACAAAGTTGATCCTCTCCAGATGCTCCATTATTCTCTTCCCGAGAATGCTCTCCAATACTTTGTAAAGGAATAAATGTTAATGATATTGATCTATAATTAACTCTTAATACATTCTTTTCAATACTGGAACTATGTATGCCTTCCTACAGTTTTCTGTGCCATCTCTAGTCTCAAGTGATTTATTGAAAATCTTTGTCAGCACTTGAGAAAGAACCCCTTCGGCATCATTCTGTAATCATGGTGATATCAGGTCTGGCCCTGATATCTTTTGTGCCTACCTGCTGCTTTTGTAGCCCAAGTCCTTCAGGCATTTTTTTTTACCACCTGTTCAGTGATTATTATATCATCTAATGTTATTGGATTGTGACCACCTACCACCTTCTACCATAGTCATCAACACAGTCTTGTTGAGTCTCTTGCACATCTTTTCATTTTTCCTCAACCTGGTAACAATGTTTTACTTCTGTTTTGCTTGCCCAACCACATAGGCTGGACGATAGAATGATGGTCTCGCTTCATGCAGATCGGGATTCAATCCCAAACTGTCCAAGTGATTGGGCACCATCCCCCCCCCCCCCCACCGTACCATCTCAAATCTTTATCCTGATCCTTTCCATGTGCTATATAGTTAAAATGATTTGGCACTTTCCCCTCCTGCTTACAGAGCAACAGCTTTAGTTGGTTATTCAACCCATCCTCCTAATAGCACATTTTGACATACTTTACCCAAGACCAAAAACTGTCGCACAAGAAAATGGTAGCAGCTCACAAAATTGACAATGTCCCATTTTCTGTTCATGGTCCTCTTGTAGGTTAGGTAGGCAGGGCACTTTAGTATGACAGTTTCTTGGTGTCAGGAATGCACGAGAGAATGGGCTGGGTTCTCGCTTTATCCAATATATTGGTTGGTTGGTTGGTTGCTCTAAGGATACAGGAATGCCATTCAACCAGTACTGTACTACTAGACAGTGCACGAACACCTAGGTGAATGCTATAGTGCTCAGAAATTATTTTAATAACTAGTGTTGACTGATGATGGTTTAAGAGAAAATACCTACCAATCAGTGTCCAAAGGAAGTCAGGCATTATCTGAACCTTGAAAAGTTATTTTGAGTTCTCCAGATCACATTAATAAACCTAAAAAAAAAAAAAAAATCCAGAAAGATTATGTTATTTAAACAATTGTTTTGAAATCCGTGAGAGGAATACAAATTTGTGGAATTTTTCAATATTTGCAGGGAGGGGAGGAATTCAGATTGATATTAAATAGTTAAGATTCACCAACCATTATTTAAAATGTTTACTTCCTTTTACTTTTTTGCAGTAAAAATGACTAGAAAATTCAAGCTTTTATAAATTATTGTCTATGCCATATGTACAGTATATACTGTACTGATAATGTTGACCTGGTCTGAACACATGACTTTTCCTATGCTAGTGCAGTCAGTCTCTTATTACTCAAGGAATTTTCAGCAATTTTTCCTTGGAGGCTACTTAATTTATAAGTACTGTACTGTATTAAAGATGTATACATGGAATGTAATTTTCATTGTCAATATTATGTGTACTATGTAACAGCAATACTGTAGTACAATATTCAATAATGCCTTCAAAGTAAAACTTTAAGAATGAAGTAAATATGGAGGTGCTCACCTTCGTACACAGGAAGAAATTGAGCACATTACCTTTTTACCTAAAAAAATCCAACACTGATGCACAGAAAAGTCTAAAGGACATTAAGGCATCATACCAACAGTCAAGAGGAGAGGAAAAAAAATCATACAAATAAACCATTATTAACTCATACCTGTGCTTTCAGTCCCATCTTCTCCAACTTGCGACCTTTTCTAAAGCCTGGTGTTCCTTCATCGACCAAGAACAAAGATGTGCCATGAGCTTTCGTTTTAGCATTGGGATCAGTGACAGCTACAACAATAACTACGTCAGACAAGTACCCGTTGGTAATGAAGGTCTTGGAGCCATTGAGGATCCAGTCATCGCCATCTCTTCGAGCATTTGTGGTCACACCCTGCAGATCACTGTGGATAAATGAACATACAAATGTTCATACAAAAACATACATTTCTAGCATTTTTTGTTAATGCTTCATTAAGGGGGAGAGGTAACTGCATGGAATAATTAGTATATATTAGTTCCTTGAATTGTTTTATCATCCTAATTTTGTGATGTGAATTGTGCCAGTATCTACTTACTGTTCTAACAGTAAACTATTATTTTCCAATATACAGTCCACTGTATCACCTTTGATCTGTGTAAGTTATGTATATCATGACATTGGATTTGACAACTGTAATTATTTTTAAATCATTGATACAAGTAGTTTCTAAACCTAAATCTTGTGTACACAGTTTATAATTACAGATACTGTATTACATGTCATTATTACAACTTTCTTGTGGGTAAATAATTTACTGTAAATTTGTGTAAACTAATCTAACTATTAATGTACAAGTATTTATGAATAAAACATTTGAATTTAAATTATCTATATCACTTTCCATGTCAATAACTTGTGTCGCGTCTCACAAAACACACACTGTAAATTGTTATGAGCACCTACTCTCATTAGGCAATATCAATATTTTACTGTTTTAATTCAATATAATTTATATATTAATAATCTGTTACAGGTTAAACCTTACACCATTACATAGTTCGAGAATTATCTTGAATAAAGTAGCTATACAGTACAGTACAGTATTTGCATTTTCAAGCCTCTTCCTACTATGCATCAGGATAGTCCAATCTAACTACACCTAGGTAATTTTCCTAACGTGCTAAAGCAACCATAAAACTTATTAATACTTTCGCTGGCACAGCGGGCGACCCGTCGCGCACTGCAAGGTGGGCCAAGCGTTGCCCCTGGGCTTACTACCACACACCATTGTTTATACTCTTCCGCTTTCTCACCTCAATTTTCGTGCTACAATGTTCAATTTGGTATCAAATTGTTCGCAATAAGATGTTGTAAACAGATACAGTATTTGCATACAAGAACAAATAAGTCACTTTTTTAAAATACTGATGAACACTCGATAATTTTTCCCCTCATACGTGTTTCGCAGCTTTCGTCATGGATTGACTATTCTTGATCAATATCCATGTTGAAGTCAATTTGCAGTGATTAAGAAGCTGGTAACAACAAATACCCGAGATAAAATAACTGGAACAGGAAAACTTTGCGACTGGAGGGGAGGAAGCGGGGGTCGGGAGCAAGGTCACGAGAGCAATGAGACTCCAGCATGGGTGGGTGTTGACGCGTCAGGATTAGGATGCCACGCAGGGTAAACCGAGACTGGGAAGACATTGGCGCAGATTTTTAAACAATTCCCATAGTATTCGGACAAAAAATGGAATTTGTACAAATTTTTTAATTAATGCCAACATTTGCTTTATCATGAACTCTGCGTGTTTTGGTTTTATGGTGCATCATGCAGCATCAGGAAGTGAAAATGTTAAGTGAAAAGTGAAACTTCTTAATGCTGCATAATGCCTTGTACAAGGAACATGCCCCTTCCTACCCAACAAGGCCACTAGATATGAAGGCAATCAGGCAAAAGTAAGTTTTTTAATTCTATGAAGTACACAATTATGAAATTGCTTTTGGAACAGCATGTAGGTAATGGTAAAGTTGAGAATGAAACATTTCATGAAACCCAGTTTTACTGACAAGTTCTGGGAAGAACCACATTTTTGCTAACATTATCCTGCTGGGAGAAAAAGGTAAGAGAAATAGAATAACTCCCCAAATGATGCAGAAATTGAAGGGCAGTAGTAGTTTTGAATAGGCCACTAAAAACCATTTGGCGTGTAGAACATATACAAGTAAACCAACAAGAATATCAAAATTAAATATTTTGGAAAAGGCAACAGTTTTTTACTGCAGCAAATGCATAATCTGTCAAATTTTGTTAATGAAGGAACAACTGAGTAAGGAGATGAATACAGTGCACAAAATGTTCAAAGTAAGACAAAATTAACTGGAATAAGAAGAAATCAACTTAAAAAATCATCATAACCGACTTGCTTTCTTTTGGTAACAAAAAATTAAAAAATTGTGAAACTGTCTCGCAGTCAAACTTTTGGATGCCAGCAACCTACCTGCCAGCCCCGGGCTCTGTCATTGCGATTGCTCCAATCTTGCGTCCTGCAACCATTTCAGGGATGTACTTGTCAATTTGTTCTTGGGAGCCATATTTTGTAATGTAAGGCATAGTAATATGAGAATGCAGAGAAAATCCAGGTCCAGAGCAGTTCACATACATTCTGAAATGTAGGGAAATTATAAATAAAACAGATAGAGAAACAAGGAAAGGGGTGGAGTGTAAAATAATTGAAGTAGTATGTGAAGTGTAAGAAGAAAAGATAGAATAAGGAATCAAAATGTCAAACAGAAAATGTGGAGTCCAAGACAATAAACATCAAGATTGAAAAGTGTACAGAGATGACTCGGGCATGTTGAAACAATGTACAGTATAACAGTAGACTAGTAAAAAGATAGAATTTGAGGGGTAAGTGAGGAAGGCTAGCAAGAGATGGATAGTGTACACGAATGAGCTATTATGTAGCAAATGTTTATATAGCAAATATGAACAATGAATAGGAAATGATAAGGGACAATGGTTGGGCGGAAATGGTTTGTATGAAGGGAGTGAATATATTTTTAATGTTATAACAATTCACAAGCAGCACTGTTCTCCTGGGGTATTATGAAGTGGTGGGGTACTGCTATGGAATGACTGATGTGGCATGCTACTGTTCACTGTTAAACTGTTGTGCTGTCAAACTGAATGATACAATGAATGGACGAGAGGCAAATTTTAACACCCATTACCTTCATTCATTGTACAAGTCATCACCTTTCTCTGGTGTAGTGATGATTAATATGATTCAATGAAGTTGGCCTTATGGATGGTCATTGTTACCAGGTCAAAATAGCAAGCAAGGATAATAAGGTGGTAATGAAGGATACACTATATTCAGAACACAGTGGAGTGGGTGATACACATGTGAAGATATTAAAAGTTTCTTTATAATCTTTTAGACTAAATGTTGTGCAGTTCTTATGCTGTCTTGAAAACTTCCATATTTTAACCTATTTATTGAAATTTAATTTATAATCAAGTTTAACTCTGGGAGTGTTGATTCTGTACATTATTTTATTGGGCAGTGTCGTTGACTGTTTACACAATCCATAAGGAAGTTTCAAATCTAGTTTTACACTGCTGAATAGTTTTGAAAATGAACATTGTACAAAATTTAGAATAATATACAAAATGCATATATTTATCATGGTTACATGATAAATATACACATGTATATATTTGGGATGGAGACATCCCAAATATTCTGTATGTTATCTGGGAATAGAGTTGAATAGGGTTCTGATGGTTGATTCTTGCTGGGTAATGATGGGCTTGAGGTAGGTAGCAGCACCTGAAGCACCAATCTTATATGCAAGATATGGATAGGTAAGCAAGTTCAGGACTGTATTATTTGAATAATATAATTGTGTGGGGCAAACATTTTTTTATAGTAAGCCAACTGTTTTGAATACTTTGTTGTGTATTCCATATGTATTGAAGTAAAGCCTTATCAATAGGCAAAGTTAGAAGTTTCCAACTTTTACCCTAAATGTTTTGTCGTTTACTCTTAGATTTGTCTTAAAGGGTCCCAGTAGCACAGTCGGGTTCGTTCTCAACGCACAATCGAGAATTCCGGGTTCAAATCTCGGGCAGGAAAGAAATGGTTGGGTACATTTCCTTTCACATATGCGTCTGTTCACCTAGCAGTAAGTAGGTACTCGGGAGATGTCAGCTTGCTGTCGGGTTGCAACCTGGGCGGGGTCAGTAATTTGACCTTGCAGAGAGGGGACCTCGATAAAAGCCTACGTGAATGAATACACTTTGGCCTCCTGTCCCCCGATACAATGAATTATTGTATTATTTATATTTTATTATTATTATTTGAATTTGTGGGATTGTGTACTTTGTTCCCAAATAGTACATAATAGGTCTTTCCATATTTAGAGAGTATTGGTCACCATCCATAAACAGACTTTATTTAGCTCATTATTTGCTATATTATTAGGATGCAAGTTAGTATGTGAGAAAAAGATTGAGTCATCAACAAAAATAAATTTAAGGGGGCGAGATGCATTAGGTAAGAAATAGATATATTGTATTTAAGTACCATATACTGCCCTGAGGGACACCTGTGTTTATTAGAGGGTAGGAGAGGAGGTGCATTATTGCATTTGTAAAGGCACACTTGTGGATACAAGCATTAGAAAATTTAGGGAAGCACTTTAATTACAACAAAACACTTACTGTTCTTCCATAATAATTGAAGCATCTTTGAAGTCACCACCAATGCCACCCATTTCCGCAGATGTGTCTGTCCCCAAAAAACCTTGCTCGCCCGCTTTGAGCCAACATTCACGAGAGATCTGCCCATCCTTCTCCCATCTAAGAAGGAATTTGTATTTGTTAGTAAAAATTTAGAAACATACTAAATGTCACAAGCTCCTCATGGTAAAAGGGGAATAATAGTAGACTGGTCTGCATGTGCATGTAGTATCTACAGTACATACTATACTGCTTAGTAAAAATCAGCAAACTTCATACTTGATGTTAAAGTTTGACATGAGAATTAAATAAATTCACTGCACACTTTCTATTTTGGTAAATTTGTTTATGAATACAGTTCTGGATACAATACATATTTTTAATCGCCAATACATATCCCAAATTAATGTACATAATAATCATTACTGATTTTTCACTTTCATAAGTGAGAAAGTACACACTTTGAAAATAAGAAAAATACATTGCCAAGATGGTTAAATGCACAGTACTAGAAAATACAAACAAGTAATGAAAATTTAAGATACCTCTGTATGGTTTCATTTGATCTGAAGGTATGGTTTTAATTTCACACTTTCATTAAACCAAGAGGGATTCCTAGTCCCTACTCCATGCATATACAAACAATATTATGAATATTCATACAATTCAGTAGCTACGACAGTTTTCTACCTATCATTTGCAGTGCTTCCTCTATAGCCAGACTTGCAGCTTTTGTCGAATTAATGTCTACCAAACTCTGATATAATTACACATTTTTGTTCCCATTAATAGTATCAATTCCCCAAACTCTTCTGTTACCTGCATGCTTTAATCAATGCAATAAAAATGTAGTAAATAAGTATTTTTTTCTTTGAATTCACTTTATATTCTCAATCCTTTATGCTTAAAGCTCAAAATGCTATTGAAATAGTAGGCACATCGCGGACTGCATAAAAGTTTGCCTCACCACGGGTTTGATATTCCCCGCCCTACAGTACATATGAAAGGGGGTTGGGGAGAGAGGGAAAGAGACCAGGGACCTCCCAGAGCCTACAAAAAGGTAGAAGCCAACAGGCATGTGCTCAGTGGCTTAGCTACCACAGCCCCTGCAATGACAGAGCCCAGCAGGAGCCAACCTGAATGGGAAGATGGTCCCTCTTCTTAAGATCGTTCCAAGGATCAATATCCCTCACAACAAACACAAGTTTTATAAAATGGAAATATTTCCCTTGCAGTAAATTTTTAAGTCATGGTCACCATCCTTGGAATGGGCAAGTTTATTATGACTCACTGTGCATGGTACGGTAAAACCTCTTCGTTGAAAAATTTTCTTGCCGATGCCCTTAAGATATCATGGTCTTCATTAAAAATGGATCGGATACCAATATCCGTCATCCTTGGTGCCTGCGCAGTTGAAGGTCGGTATTGGACAGCATCCTCCTGATTCTCTGATGACAGTTCATCACACCTATCGAGAAAGAAAATATAATGAAGCAAATAATTTATGAATAAAATCAAGAGTTAGGTGTCCTTATGTATTAATATAAAATACCTGTAGTGTGGTGCATAATAAGATAACATATGAGCATAACAAAATAAAATATTAAGAGTTGTAGAAACAGACCATGAGAAGCATGGGGTGATGTTAAAAGAACAGAGTAAGAAAACAATACATTAAAAAACCATTAGACTGAGAAAAGATGGCCACACTCGCCCTGCTTTTTCTAACCAAACTAGCAATTTGGTCTAGATTCGATTCCTGGCCAGGGAGGGTGTACCTGGTTGTTAACCAATTGCTGGGTCATGTTCCAGGGGAAAACTAGTGGACAAGGCTTACCATGAGTTATGGGAAGGAAAGGCCCTCAGCCTGCAAACAGGAGTCAGAAATCTTATAAAACTAAAAAAAAAAAAGTACTAAAATGTACTTTTCATACAATTTTTTTGTACTTGCATAAATATTCAAAATAAGGCAAATATGACACGGATTTATATCTAGAAGCTCACTTTCATTACTAATGAAACACCTGATTTTATTCTTCAGCTCTATCTTGCTCTTGCTAGGGCCCATTTAGATTATGCAGTTCAGTTTTGGTCGCCATACTATAGAATGAATTTAAATTCACTAGAAAGTGTCCAGCGTAGGATGACAAAGTTAATCCCGCAAAATAGAAACCTTCCATATGAAGACTGAAAAATCTTAATTTACATTCTCTAGAAAATCAGAGTTAGAAGTGACATGATAGAAGTGTACAAGTAAATGAATGGGAATAACGAATTGATTAAGGCCCGAAATATATCAACACATAATAGAACACAAAACAATGGGCATAAATTGGATAAGTTTCGACTTGGGAAAGACCTGGGTAAATACTGGTTCGGTAACAGGGTTGTTGATTTGTGGAACCCATTACCGCGTAACATAATAGCATAGGATCCCTCAATTATTTCAAGCGTAGGTTAGACATATATATGAATGAGTTTGGGTGGACATAAGTAAGAGCTGCTACATATGGGCCAATAGGCCTTCTGCAGTTTCTTTCATTCTTGTGTTCTTAACTGGGCTGTGACTTGTGCATCAAAATGCAAGGAGTTGTGTCTAACAGTGAGAAATATTTTGGTGTATAGAACATTATGGCTTCAATTCCTGAAGCTATTATGTTACTCTGTAGCCTCCATGTAAACAAGGGTGAAGCAGCCAAAGCTCTTTAGTATTCTGTTGACGCATAGGTTATGGGGTTAAACATTAACCAGCTCCTTAACCATTTACCCTGCACCTTACTTAGATAAATATTGGAGTTCACTTCCCAGCCATAATTGTCTATATATACATTTTTTACCACTAACTGGATAAGTCTAAATATACTGTATAAGTATGGGGGAAGGTTCTACCATTACAAGATGGGCCTGCACCACCGCTCACAGGATGGGTATGGGGGTCAACACAAGATTAACTAACCATTGGGCATCAGCCTCTCTAGGAAGGGAATATACCGGTGACACTGATAATTAGGCCATGGTCCCGAGCCAAGACTTATGGCTCAACGGGCACTTAATTCCATTCCACTGTAGCTCAAGGCGGCCTTCGCTGTTCCTCACCTGGCAGTGGTTGCTATAGTCCTGACCCCAACAGCTCTCCCCATAAAGGAGCGGCTGAGGAGCTGGCGACAGAGCTGGGATGAGGTTGAGAGGAGCTGCGCCATGATGCCTCTGGGACCAGCTGAGCTGCGACTGGGGGTGGCGGCAGCGGCAGGGTTGCCACCTCCAAACTTCTGAAAGTAGCGAGATGACGGTCTAAAAGTAGCGAATTTGTGATAAGAGTAGCCCAATTTATTATATATATATTTATTTATTTATTTATTTATTTATTTATGCATATACAAGAATGTACATAAGGAATGTGAGGATACAAATATGGTAATTACAGTCTTGTAAAGCCACTAGCACGCGCAACGTTTCGGGCAGGTCCTTAATCTAAGAAAATTTTAAGGAGGTAAATACTTGCAAAATTTATAGACAAAAAAATGATAACAGATTACATGGAATGAAAAAAAAAGATGAGAGAAAATTATAGGTACAGTATATTAAACCTAACCACACTAACCTCTCTGCCTAGTTAGGTAGGTTAGTAGACGAAAAACATTAATCTTATTAGGCAGCACATAGGTAGCTATGATTGATTGCAATGACAGCTTAAAATGGTAGTTGACAACAAATTGGTAGGCACAATACAGCAGAAACAATATAAGATTATATATATAAATAACTGACAACTCCACACCCCAGAAGTAACTCGAACCCATATGGAGCACTATGCAACTGGTATACAGGAAACCTTAACCACTCGACCATCACGACCGTACAAAAGATGGTAGCTGAGGCTATTTGCCCATCATTTCGACAGCGCTCTGATGGTAATCTTGGGCATGGTATTTTATCAAATCACCTCATTTTTTGGGGCCATTGAGCAACGCAAATGGAAATGGTTAAAGTCTCCTGTACACCAGTTGCATAGTGCTCCTGGCAGAATGAGTTCAAGTGGCTTCTGGGGTGTGGAGTTTTCAGTTGCATATATGCCTGCATGGGGACCATTCAGGCTTGTTCACATTTGTGTTGCTCACGTGGCAACCAAAAATGAGGTGATTTGTTAAAATACCATGCCCAAAAAGAAACCCGGATTTCTGGCAAACATTTAACCATAGAGCCCTAGAAAACAACCCCTGGAGCACAACCATGCACAAACCGGAGCCCGACCAGTTGTGTAACCGGACCCCGACCACTTATTTAACCGAAGCCCGACCAGTTGTGTAACCGAAGCCCGACCAGTTGTGTAATGGGACCCCGACCAGTTGTGTAACCACATGCCTAGCAAGTATAAATCTCATCCAACCCCCACCAAGCTCAACAGCCCCAGAGCCTAACCAAACTTCATTCCTAGCTTGACCAAACAAAAATGTCCTTAGCCCTACCTAAAACCCTCCTCTTGCCCTAGAAACCAATTATGGAGCAATAGCGAACAAAAAATTGAGCTATGCACGAAAAAAGAAACCCGGATTTCTGGCAAACATATAACCACAGAGTCCTAGCAAACAACCCCTGGAGCACAACCATGCACGAACCGAAGCCCAACCATGCACAACCCGAAGCCCAAGTGACACCCCCAGAGCCCGACCAGTTATGTAACCGGAGCCCGACCAGTTGTGTAATGGGACCCCAGCCAGTTGTGTAACCGCAAGCCTAGCAAGTACACATCTCATCCAACCCCCACCAAGCTAAGCCCCAAATCCAACCAAACTCCATTACTAGCTTGACCAAACAAAAATCTCCTTAGCCTTACCTAAAACCCTCCTCTTGCCCTAGAAACCAACTATGGAGCCATAGCAAACAAAAAATTGAGCTATGTACATAAAAAAACGGATTTCTAGCAAACATGTAACCATAGAGCCCTAGCAAACAACCATGCATGAACCGAAGCCCGACTATGCACAACCCGAAGCCCAAGTGACACCTCCGGAGCCCGACCAGTTATGTAACCGGAGCCCGACCAGATGTGTAACCGGAGCCCGACCAGTTGTGTAACCGGACCCCGACCAGTTGTGTAACCGAGGCCCGACCAGTTGTGTAATGGGACCCCGACCAGTTGTGTAACCGCAAGCCTAGCAAGTACACATCTCATCCAACCCCCACCAAGCTAAGCCCCAGATCCAACCAAACTCCATTACTAGCTTGACCAAACAAAAATCTCCTTAGCCCTACCTAAAACCCTCCTCTTGCCCTAGAAACCAACTATGGAGCCATAGCAAACAAAAAATTGAGCTATGTACGCAAAAAGAAACCCAGATTTCTGGCAAACATATAACCATAGAGCCCTAGCAAACCCCCGGAGCAGAACCATGCACAAACCGAAGCCCGACTCGAAGCCCAACAAGTCACATCCCCGGATCCCGACGAGTGTGTAATCGCAAGCCTAGCAAGCAAATATCTCATCCAACCCCCCACTAATGTGCTAAGTGGGGTGCCACAGGGGTCCATTTTGGGGCCAACCCTTATTGTCATATACATAATGACATGAGAATATTACAAACCATATCAAATTTGCAGAATACACTAAGATCTATGGTAAAATGGTAAGTGAAAGTCAAATTGAAACTTTACAAAGAGATCTACGTGAACTCCACAAATGGTCAGATGACTTTTTGATGTCGATAAATGCAAGACCTTGCATGTGGGGCATAACAATCCACGTCACAACTACCAAACTGACAGCACTACCTTTCAACAGATAGATGAAGAAAAGGACTTTGGAGTCAGAATATATCACGTGAGGCATAACAATACCCAACACAACTACCAAATCATCAACATTATCTTGGAGTCAGAATTCACCTATCACTGACAGTTGTACAACAAGTGGGAGCGGCAGTAAAAAAGCAAACCAAACCCTGGGAATAATCATGCGTACCTTGACCTTCAAGGAAAAGAAAGTAGACCTTCAATTGTATAAGTTTCTGGTGCGCCCCCACATGAATTATTGCATCCAGGCATGGAGACCTCATCTTCAGAAAGACATAGCTGCTCTAGAGCCATGCCTTACCAGAGCTATGGAGCTATGTCTTACGACAAAAATCATACCAGAGCTTAGTCATCTCTCGTATCAGGAACGGTTGAGGGACACAGGGCTAACAACACCACAAACCAGGAATGACAGGGCAGACTTCATAGAAACCTTTAAAATACTAAACAATTTAGAGGATGTCGATCAGGACAATGTCTTCAAAAGGTCAGATGTTACACGAACAAGGAGCAACGGGTTCAAACTCAACAAGCCAGAATGTTGAACAGGAAACAGATGCTTTTTCTACCCATAGGAGTGTAAACCCGTGGAACCGCCTACCCACCAAAGCCGTAAACGCCGAAACTCTTCTGGGTTTTAAAATACAGCTGGAAAATATCTTCAGGGCAAATAGGGGGACCTTTGACAAGCCGCCGGCTTACTGTCCTCATCGAGGGGTGTTAGTGGCCCTCAGGTAAATTCAGTTCCTGGAGGGGGTGTCCCCGCTCCGTCCAGTTGGGAAGTTGCCACAAATACTATTGCAGTATTTGTACACTGGACTGTCACTTGTCATTAAACTTAGTTTTTAAAACTATTAACTTGATGAAATAATATTACCTTATAAGCGAGAATAATTCTGAATACTGTACGCAGAGCGATAAAATTGCTTGCAATCCTGCCCGAAACGCTTTGCGTAATAGTGGCTTTAGGCTTTGAATGCACTATAGCTCTATCTATAAATCTATCAATGTTTGTATCTTCCCTTGTATGTATGTACTTTACCTGAATAAACATTTGATTTGATTTTGATTTGAAATTGACGAACGCGGCTGTGGGTTGGGCGGCGGCGTAGGCGAGCCTGGCCTGAGGACAGGCAACTGTAAATGCTTCACCCTCCACATACTTCAAGTGCAAATAATTGCCAACAGAACCTACTATACGCCTAATTAAACATAGAATATAAAATTATTTTATAAACGATAAAATCTATTTTTAATACACAGTACGTGAAAGTCGATAATAAATGCGTCTTAGGAGGTGGGGGGGGAGGCGGTGGTCGACCGCCGCGTTAACGAGCCTAGCCTGACGACAGGGTGGTTTAACACTATGGGGGAAGTGTATTCTACATAATATCTTACCCATATAATGTTGGCAAATCATGATCTTCAATATCTAAGAAAGGACAGACTATTGAGCATTAGTGGAATACAAACATTTGAATACTACAGAACCGGATGAAAAAAAAATACGGAATCAATGAACCAAAAATACGGAATCAATGAACCTCGGAGACATTACAAAAACTCCATGTTATAATAACGAACAAATGTATAATGCATTAAGCATTGTAGGTGGAGGTAGACTATATATTCATGTACCTCCAAACTGCTCAGATAGCAAAAAAAAAAAAAAATGATCAGCCTTACCTACACGGGAACGGCGACGCTCACGCCGCCGCTGCTTCCTGACGACTGACCGGGTCGCCGTCAGTGACCCGTAGCGCCCAACCGACCCAGAGACCCCCTGCCTAAAATGATTTGAACGCCATATTGAAATTCCTACCGTATAGTGCCAGGAGTGTGTAAATTAGTATTTATATATACATTATAGGCCTTTCTAAAGTAATTTATAGATATGAATATCATATATTGTCTAACAAACAAATTATTTAAGTTAATATTTCAATTATGCCAGATATACAAGTCTCATCGCACATAAGAAGATTCGTCAGCGGATTTTTTTTTTATTTTCTTTTATTTATATATTTTATATAAATACTCTATAGGATATATAGAAAAGAGTTCTTAAATTCCTGTAAAGCCACTAGTATGTATAGTGTTTCGGGCAAGTCCTTAATCCTAATTTTTTCCCCCGGAATACGACCCGCCAAACAGGTCAAACAACCTATTCTCTGCTGGGTGAACAGTTAAGGATTGTCGCTCGGTCAACCCTTCCCGGCCAACAGGTCAAAGCGCTGGCAACGAGTCGGGCGCGTGCTTTACCACTACACCTCAGTGGCGTAGTGGAATTTTGAATTTTGAAACCATTCTTTAGTCTATCAAAGCTAGACTAACCTAGCTCAACCCAACCTAACGTAACCCAAATCAAACCAATCTAATCCATCCGAGCCCAATGCAGCCTAACCTTAATAACATAACCTAATACAGCCTAGCATAACAATACATCTGGTTTTAAAACATAA